TACCGGGCTTTTAAAAACACCTAACTACTAAGTCCTATAAGTACTAAGGAAAGTAGCTTAACGTCAATCGCGTCAAAATATGCTTTGTCGTCTGGACCGTCAATTTTGTTAGTCGTGCAGAGTTTTGCAAAGCGTTTGACACAACATGAGCTGTTTCAGCGTTGCCGGAGGTCGCCCTGAAATTGTTCAAGTTAAAAGAAGCTTCTGAACAAAAACAACCTAAACCCCAAACCCTACCCCCTAAACTCCTAAACCCTAAACCCCTACACCCTAAACCCCTAAACCCTATACCCTAAACTATAGAAAGCGCCTCCGACTCCCATGAAAAAGCTCTGAACAATCAGGGGTGCCTTTAGGGTTCGATAGGGGCCTTCAAATTCAGAAGGGGTTGTGGGGTATACTATTCAACAAAAATGCCACAGGATCCCTATGAGGAATGGTGTGTGCGTAGTTCATAAGGAATAAAAGCATTCATCATTCCTCAGGAATAACTTGTATACAACATTCAACACAGGGAAAAGTATTATTCCTCAAAATGCTCTAGACGAATAGTTCGAACTAGTTGATTCCCTAAACCCTAAACCCTAAACCCCAACCCCTAAACCCCAACCCCTAAACCCTAAACCCTATAAGCTCTAAACCCTAAAGCCCTAAACCCAAAGCCCCCTTAAACCCTAAACCCTAAGCCCAAAACCCCCAACCCTAAACCCCTAAACCCTAAACCTATAACCCCAAAGCCCCTAAGCCTTAGAGGCTTCCTTCTTCCGCCCCAGAAAGGCGTTTCCGAAAATAGGGGACCCTAACAGAGTACCCTAAATAGTAGGACCCTTATTGTAAGGACCCCCAAAAACACCCTAAACCCTAAATCCTAAACCCTGTTTTCGGAAACTCCCAGAGAGGCGCCTGCATGGAGCGCAAGCTTTACGACCTGTGTCGGTGAAGCCTCCTCACGATTCAGGGTGGGTTGGTTTAGGGTTCAGGGTTTAGGGTTTGGGGTTTAGGGTTTAGGGGTTAGGGGTTTAGGGGTTTGGGTTTTGGGGATTAGGGTTCAGGGTTTAGGGTTTAGGGTTTAGGGTTTAGGGTTAAGGCTCTTTGCGGGTGTTTAGGGCGTACAGTAACGCGAAACCTAACCCTGAACCCTAAACACAGTTCAGGGTGGGTTAATGTAAAGGTGCTTTGGGGTTTTACGGTGTAATGTAGGGGCCTCAATAATTAGAATAAGGTTTTTGGGGTATATATATCATGAATATAATAAGGAGCCCCCAAAAAAATAGAAATGGTAATTATTAAGGCCCTACGTTAGGGTTTAGGGCTCAGGGGGAAGGGCTTAGAGGCTAGAACCGCGTTTACGGCCCAGGTAGAAGCGGCTGAGGATGCAATGAAGGTCTGTGCGGGATACCCAGGCTGTTTGGAAGGCACGGTTTAGGATTTAGGGTTTCGGGTTTAGGGTTTATAAACCCTAAACCCTAAACCCTCGGCCCTAAACCCTAAACCCTTGAACTGCACATGGAGGCTCACGGTAGATGAACAGAACCTCATTGCGTGTACAGTTCAAATTCAATGCTCCGTTGTCCGGTAAGAGAGGATTCGGACATCGATTGAAGGGGTGGTAGGTCAGTGTTAAGTTCAATTCTTAGGGCCTAGTTTAGGGTTTAGGGGCTGAATACCCTAGCCGAACAAGGGCTAAGCAAGTAAATTATAGTAGGACTATATACGCCCCAAATGGTTAAAGGTCTGATCCCCTAAGGGAGTATGTCATACACACCTCCAGCTCAATCACAAGCATCCTACAAGTACAGCTCCAAAGTCTCTCCAAAGGCCTCAGCTAGCAATGCTTTGGAGCCTGGCAGGCCCTCGACCCTCCTTCCAAAGCTCAAGCCGGAAACATTCTTCCTCCTCTGCAGTATTAGGGCTTGGTGCTAAGAAACCAGTCCTGCGGCCCAAGAACCAACAAAAAAGTAACCCGAAGCCCCGAGTCCTAGACCCGAGGCCCCAATCCCATGCTTCTGTTCTCTGGTCGTGGTCGGGGTGTCACGGGGGGGGAAGGATGGTAGGGTTTGGGGGGAAGGATAGTTGGGTTTTGGGCCAGGGTAGTGTGGTTCCGGGCCATAACAGCAGCAACGTCACCAACAACAGCAGTAGTACAGCATTTACACGTTTCAACCATTACATCAATGTGTCACCACGTCGTTGTCATCATCATCACGTCATCATCAGCTGACAGGATCTGACATCAAACGACCGACATGGCAAACGGAACCTGACCCTAAACCCTAAACCCCCAAACCCCTCAACCCTAAACCCTAAACCCCTAAACCCCTAAACCCTAATCCCCTAAACCCTAAACCCCAAAACCCCAAACCCCAAAACTCTAAACCCCTACACCCCAAAACCCTAAACCCTAAACATGACTGCACGGGACATGGCATGACAGTGCAGGGCAGGGCGAGCGTCCTGACCGGCCTGTGGCAGCGTCGAGCCTGAGAACAGTTGCAAGTGCGATGCTCTGGTAGGGTTTAGGGTTTAGGATTCAGGGTTTAGGGTGTAGGGTGTAGAGTTTAGGATTTAGGGTTTAGGGTTTGGGGTTTAGGGGTTTAGGGTTTAGGGTTTAATCGGGTTTGGGGTTTAGGGTTTAGGTCTGATGCAAAGAACTTCTTTTTTTTGGGGGGGAGGGGGTCGGACAAGGCCGCATCAAATGCTGCGGGTGCCGGTCTGCGGAGGGACGAGACGAACCTGGGAACTAGGCACCGAGGCGAACCCACTGACTCCAAACACAAAGCCCGAAATCTCAAAACCTGATCTCAAAGACTCCCCAACACGAAGCCCACAACCCCAAAGCCCGATCTCAAAGACTCCCCAACACGAAGCCCACAAAAGCCACAAGCACACGAAGAAAAGTTTGCAGGAACCGTCAGAACCTTTACTCCCCAGTCTAATGTAGGGGCCTGAATACTTAGAATCGGGCTCCTTCAAGGGTTCCTTTAAAGGGGTTACTATAAGGGCTACTATAAGGGTTTAGGGTGTAGGGGCCTTCATAGTTAGAATAGGGTTTTGGGGTAGACTATACTATAGCTTTAATAAGGAATCCCAGAAATTGTATGGGTAATTATTTAGGCCCCTATATTAAGCGCCAAAGCTCGCAGAGTGCAAGCCCCCTCTGGGTTCCTTCAAAGCTTCTGCTCATCAAAGGGGTTCTACCTATAGTCTCCATAATATATATATATACATATATACATATACATATATATATATATATTATTAGGGATCCTATAAGGTAACCCCAAAAAGGAACTACAACGGAGACTACAGGCATAAGGGTTACGACTGAGAAAGGGATAAAGAGGACTTGATAACTGAAGAGAAGTCTCCGAGTTAGAGGCTATTCAAGAGCCTACAATGTAAGGGCCTAAAGAAATGCCAAGACTATTTTGGGGATTCCGTATCATAGCTACAGTATATATAAATTGTATTTAGAATACACACCAAAACCTGATTCTAATTATTAAAGCCTCTTTATTCAGCCTTCATCCTCAACCCGGAACTCTCCCCAAAGTCTCCCTTTTAGCTGCTTTCTTGGCCAGCAAAAAGGTAGACATAGCGAGTTAGGGTTTAGGGTTTAGGGTTTAGGGGGTTTAGGATCTTGGTTGCCACAGAAGGACCTTGGAACTGCAATGAAGATGAATCAAGGTAAGCCCTAGATGCAACCGCAGCGCGCATCCACCAGGTTGGGCAGAGCGTGTCGTCCCAATCGAAGATGAGGCAGGGCAGACGCTCCTGGGGCTAATTCTAAGGTCCCCGGGATTCAATGTTGCATAAGAAGCATAGACCCTACATCATAAAAGGATGCCGCGATACTTTGAGGAAGGGATCCGGAGTCTCTTGGGGTGCGAAGCCCCTTGGAGCCCTAGACCTTAAACCTCAAACTTCAATCCGAAACCTCGACCCTTAAACCCTAAACCGTCAAGCCCTGAATCTTAAAAAGTTGAACCCCAAACCTTAGGCCCCAAACCCTAAACCCCAAAGCCTAACCCTAAGGCCCCAAACCTTAAACCCTGAACCTTAAAAAGTTGAACCCGGAACCCTTGGGCCCCAAACCTTAAATACACCTGAACCCTAAGCCCCTAAACATCATCCCTTCCTCCTTGTTCTTGTCTTTTCGGGCTGTGGTTCACCGGGCTGGGGGGGCTCAGGGTGTGGACCCTGCTTCTGCTTGTTAATCTAGGATTTCGGGGTTTAGGCCCGTTTAGGGTTTAGGGTTTAGGGGTTGGGTCTAAGGATTTCGGGGTTTAGGCTTTGGGTTTTGCGGGTTGAGGGGTTTGGGGCGTGCCTTTTGGAATGTACGAGTTCCTGGGTTCTCTGTGGCATCGCAACCAGATGCCCAGGTCCACAAGTCACGAAAGATTGAATCGTCAACTCCGACACTCTGACAGAGCTAGCAGACTTTGTGCTCATAAAGTAGCTTCCGCGGGTTGGGGTTTAGGGTTCAGGGCTTAGGGTAAGCCTCCACGTTCGCAGCCGCCATGCCGGCGGCAATCTCAGCCAACACAGGGAAGCCTCGGTGGAGTTGCAGGTGTGGTGCTTGGCAAAGGTTCACGGTTTGGGGTTTAGGGTCTACAGCTGAGGGTTCACGGTTGCGGGGCTGGGGTTTGTCAGAGGGTCTCGGTTTTCAGAGCTGCAGTCGGAAGGACGGATGCGCGGACGGACGGGCAGATGGATACTTGCTTGCATCTGTGGAGGAAAGCATGTATGCACGCAAGTGTGGATGCATGTAGTATCTATGTACCCATGTATGTATGCATGCAAGCAAGCATGTAAGATTGCACAGACACGAAGAATGACTACACGTTCAAACACTCCATGGCTCGATGTCTTAGGGCATCATACGAGCCACGAGCCCAAGTATAGAGTGTAGCCGATGATATTCCTTGATCACGGGGCATTCGACTGTTTTTGTTTTTGATTTTAATATCTAAAACCTCTAGCCGAAATCCAAGCCTTGCGCCACACAGTTGTTGGGGATCTCTGAAAACTCTCCCTCCATCCACGTCCAGGCCTGCGCCGGAATCCTTGATCTTGGGAGGTACCTGCAGAACTTGCACGGGCTGTCAAGTCACTGTCACCTAAACCCACAAACGTGAACCCACAACCCTAATTCCAAAACAGCAAACCCTGAAGAGTGTGAGCACTTCCCAGACGGGATCTGAGAACATCATCATGTTGCTCATCATGACGACGGGTTTAAATCAAAAGGTCTTCTTAACGATTCGGAGCTGTTTTTGGCTTGGGCCTTACAACTATTGTTTAGACGAAAAAAAAGAGCAGCGGTAGTAGTAGTAGTAGTAGTAGTAGTAGTAGTAGTAGTAGCAGTAGTAGTAGTATCAGTTGTTGTAATGGTAGTGGTAGTGGTAGTGGTAGTAGTAGTAGTAGTAGTAGTAGTAGTAGCAGTCTACTATTGTCGGACCAGTATGAGCCCCTGTTGTTTTGATGATGGCTGGTGGGCGGTAGTTGCAAGAGTGGCCG